GCAGAAAAATCAACAAGGGTTACCAGTCTTGCACCACAGTCTAAGCAACAAAAACTACCAGCCAGAGTGAATTCAGGCCATTTCTGGTAAACGGGAACCTCCGTGAGTTAAATCAGAACCTGCGGACCAGAGGGGGAAAGAAATCCCCGGGCTCTTGTTCGGTCCCTTCTCAGGTTTTTCTCTCCCTGTGAGTCTGCGGCAAGCTGAAGGTCTGAGCTGCTCTCCAGACTTTCATCATTATAACTGGTGTGATTTTTCAATATGCACTCTAGGGCAACGGTTTTCAAACTGTGGTCCGTGGATCCGTAGGGGTCCACAGACTAAGGGGTCTGCAGAAGATGATTGCGATCAATCAAAAGTATGCAAATCCCACACTTCCAATTCAAAGGCGTTCAGCACCTCCATTCAAAATTTCCAAAGGGGCCCGCAAATGAAAAAGGTTGCAAGCCACTGCTCTATGAGCTGTACTAGTGTATAGGGGCCTTGTACCAGGTACAGCTTATACAGGAATAAGCTCTACCAGCATAAGCATTTTTTGCACCATTCTAGCTGTGTTCACAGGAGGCTGTACTGCTCTGCCTATACCAGCACAGCTAAAGGGGCATAGCTGTTACGCCTGTGCAAAGCCAAAGGGGCCAGTGGCCAGCCATTGTAGATGTAGATATATGATGGTCTAAGCAGTGGAAGAACTTGAGCTTTACCTAACCTGGCAGGAGCACTGTCAAAGCCAACGCACCATTTGTTCTGCAGGGCCAGACCACTCCTTGGCCGCTCCCTCTGAGGCTGATAAGGGATGTCAGTTGTGGTGGCTTGTTCAGGATGAGGACAGATTCACAGGGCAATGGGCAGCTCTTCATTACTAGCTTCTGCTTGGTTTCATCCAGCAATCTGCGCTTGTAAGGCCTATTGCCTAAAGCACCGCCTACTGTGAAGGCCCCTTCTCTAAGCTCTTTATGGCCTCTCCTCAAAGACAGGTTGCAAGGCAATGCCAGGATCTGCCTTCACCCTAGAGTGGAATATGTTGTCCTCACATAGCTTCAAGCTCCTGCTACAGCTGGAGAAAGGCACTGTGACTGGGTATGGAAACTGCATCCTTGCATGACCAGGCAATAGGTAGCCTCATCTCACCAACCCTTTCCACTCCACTCCCTCCTGCCCCATTCTTGTTACTGTCCCTTTCTTCCCTCTCCTGGCATTGAGCAATCCCCTCTAACCAAATCCCATCCAGAGATTGGAACCAAATCAGTCTTAAAATGACGCTTGCAAACCACCTCTCTACTCAGATCCCTAACCTTTTTGCCTCATCCATTTCAGCTGCAAGCTTTCAGGGCACAGACTCTCTCAGGCTGCTTGGACAGTCCCAGTACAAAGGGTCCCAGCTCTCAACTGACCCTCCAACTCCACTCTCTTACTCATGTAGTCAGCTGCTTAAATTGTATGGGAATTAATAGGTGTACACACGTACACACACACACACACACACACACACACACAGGCCAAATTCCTATTTCAACCCAGAAATGCAGGGAACGTCTATGGATTTACACCAGCATAACAAAGAGATCACAACGTGTCCCCACTCTTTATGCACTGGGACTAATACAACTTGTTTGCCGAAAGTCTCCTTCGCAGCTGTCTTATTCTCCCCATGACTTTATAGCCTCAGCCCGCATTCTGCATCTATTTTCAGATCAACCGTGCAACAGAGATAAGAAAGGCTGAGAGAGGGGCTCACTCTCTGAAGCCTGAGCATTTATTAATACTTAGAAGTGGAATCCGTTTAAGAGCAGCCCGCCTGGGGTCTCGAGGGCTATTTTTGCTGCAAGATACGGATGTTCAACCACAGAAGCTATGGCCTGCAGTTCACTATCACAAAACATACGTCTACAGATGGGGAAAACACAGCTGAAACCTGATGTGGTCACTGCATCTAAACTGGAAAGATTCAGCAGATATGCATCAGCACAGATGTCATTCACTTCCCACCCTTCCACTTAACTGTTAGTCTCCCCCGTGGCTGAAAGTGGGGCACTAGGTGTATAAAATTAATGGAAGTGATAGACACACGGTGGAAGCACCACTCCTCTTTGCACAACAGAGGGACCCCCCCCCAAACCCAGAATGCCAAGCTCAGGAGCGAGAGGCATTAGCAGAGCACTAGCTACTGCACAAACTACCATTGTAACCGATTCAGAGGGACATCGTCTGTGGAGTTTCTGCCCTGCTAGAGAACATGAAAGCCTCAACGTTAAAAGATTTTTTGTAGGAAGTTTCAAATTCTCAAAATAGCAAAGACAATATTTTCCCAAAAAAAGGAAACGCAACATTTTTCACCTCTTTTCTACTTCAAAGCAAGATCACCTTTGAGGGAAAGCAGGCTTCAGAGTTACTCATAGGAGACAGAAAACCATTATCATATGTACCTAGCTTAGCAGCTCCTATTTTTTTTTTTTTCCGGGGGGGGGGGGGGGGGGGGAA